CATCCTGCTAGGCTGCTTCGGCTCCGGCCAGCAGCACCACCACCACTGGGATTTCTTCTTCCCGCCCTCCCGCTAGCGCGCTGAGCGAATGCTCGGGGGGAAGATATATCTCCGCTCCTTTCCAGCCACGGGTCGCCTAAGAAACTAACCGAAAATCAAAATACTTTTGTTTATCTCTCAAGACTTATATTTGCATATTTAAGACAAAATAAGTTTTTAAAATGCATTATTATACTGTTAAGAACATGATCACTCTTACCTCTCTTAAACGATAGACTATTGGCAGTATAGGTTTGCTCTCTAGTTGGAATACAGAAAACACGTTTTAACAATTTCCTCTTTGTGAACAAGCCCTCGATATTTGGGGTGATATTTGTTATTTTACTAATTTTTTTTCCTGAGTGCCTAGGGCTGCGTGCGCCGAAAGCGAGCATATATCTGACCCCTAAAGACGATGGGCAGAACCCCCTCGCCTTTGTGTCCTTGAAGTCCCGCCTTCCACCCTCCCCGCTCCTGGGCCGCTCATCAGCGACCTATGCCGCCGCTGCTGCGGTGGCGCCGGCGCGTACTCTGTTGTTGAAATACCAGTTTTCTAACAATAATCGTTGTTTCTGTATAAAATTGATGACTTATGTGAATTCATCCTGTTTTCCATAAAGAAAATCTGTGAAACGTATTTGAAAGTTTTGTTTAATTCTTTTCACATATGTAAGTAGCCATTAATATGTAAATAAACATCCATATCTTGTTTCTTTCTTTGCTCCTGTACTTTCTGGGTACATGAAATTCGAAATTTTGAATGGAAAATGAATTTTTGTATGTTTTAAATAATAATTCTTGATATAAAGTTTGAGAAAGAAGGAAATTGACATATATAATTTAATTATTTATTTTCATGTGAACATTGCAGCGTAAATCCTTTTTCTTTTTACTTATTCCTTTCACTTCAAAATTTCAAAATATTTTACTGCTTTTAATTAAGATTACTGATACTTTCAACATTTTATTTACATTTTTGATAATACAAGCAACTAGTTTCTTTCTGCTTTTTTTATCATACGTATTGACATACAAACTGAAAATAGTGTACGACATTTTTCCACATGCAAATCTTTCTTATACACGGTAAGGATGAATATAATTTTGTTTGCAAACACATTTTCCTTCAAAATGATCACTATCTACAACATATTCACTTGTACATAAACATTAGAATCAGCAGTCAGAAAAGCCTGGAAATAAGACGTAAAGACTAGGCTTTTTTGGAATTAATCTAGTTGTTTCTAAATACTCTTGTGACACTGCTGGACTAGAAACACAATTGAATCCGGTCTCATGAATTAATTATTATTTATATTCTGAATCTTATTGTTAAACAAACTCGACCAAAGATATTCGTCATTATAATAATAATCGATTTCATATTTTCTAGTTATGCTTGTTTGCGCTTTTTAACAAAATGTAAAATATAGATGTCGGTAATACGGTTATGTTTCATGTACTAAATAACCTTTCAACTGATTATCTTGAACAAAATATTTTTCTCTCATAAATGCCACATTTTTGCAACGTTTCCTGTGATTCAAAGGACTTAAAACTCATTAAACGTATTTTTAACTTCATAACAAGTGGGCAAATATCTTAATATAAAAAGATCGTTGTCGAAACTGCCATGACCTTACTGTTATTTTCTTCCTTTTACTAAACTATGCAAAAACGGAATACATTTCAATTCAAGCAATGGAGAAAAATATCACATTCATCTTTAAGGAATTTAAATAATATCATATTATTCTTAAGTTATAAAATAAATAACATAAAATAATTATATCCCTCCCCCACTTATGGCCTTTTTCTTATTGATATTGCGTCTATAAGTGAAACAGAAAAAAAAACAGTGATTGGTAGATGAAGAACTGTTTATAAAGATTTACTGAAGGCAGGGACCAATTTAAAAATGTAAATTTCACATATAAATTTCATTTTTACTATACGCGGAAACAATACTGATTATAAGAGAATGTTCACTATTATCAAGACATTGCGAGAGGAGAAACCTCAAATATGTCAGCGCTGTGGTAAGTGATGAAAGTTAAATTGAACATAAACATGTATTATTAACAATCAAGGCGGATATTGAGAATGATCTTGATATTTTGAAACAAGCAAAATCGTCCCGGAAAAATTAATAACGGTAAGTAATTTTCTTTTGGTGTGATCATGTTACAATACACATAGATGGACCATATAAATGATTTTTATATGTTCCTCTATTTTTTCAAAATGATTGTCATCTTGTTTTTAACTTGCCATCCTTCGGAGAGGTTGTAAAGCCGGCAGTCCCATGTTAATAGATTTACTGCATGTAAAAGATACTCAAGCCCTAATGAAGCCTCTGAGCTCAATTCAAATCGCCGTCTCCGCTAGTGGGTGAAAGGAGCATAGCGTAATTTGCGTGGTCAGACGGAAGAGCGGGCCTGATAGACCGAGTCTCGCCACGTAAAATAAAGCAACAATTCAATTCAACTTAAGTTTGGTATCTTGATATTTTGCTCTCGCGCCCACGCCCATGCACCCCTCTCCTGCCACCATCCATATTCTCATTTGGATAACACAGATTGTTCACCCTCCCTTTGGGTATTGAATGGTACCTTGTATTACGAAATATATTTTTATTTCAGTCATAAACATTATTTAAGATACTGCCTTGCATCCCTACTGTACATATAATTATTGTATGCTTTCGTCATATAATACATTCGGCGCATATAATAATATAATGCAATGGTGCACCTACGAAGGGAGTGCTCCCCCTAAAAAAGACGATTATACATAATCACAAATACATATTTTACTAGATATTTTCCATAGTAATGTAAGTTATTCAATATCTCATTTAAATACGTTATGATTATACAGATAAAAATTTGTTTAAAATTCAGCATAAATGAAAATTCGTTATTAGAAGAAATTTCTGCTGGACACTACATTTTAAGTTTCCCTCCCCGTCAGAAAAATCCTGGTTTTGTCACAATGCGTAGTATACGTGTGAATGTATGATTCCCACGCCAACTTTCCCAAATACAGGATAATTCTAGGAAGAGTCGCACAAAAACCAGGACCAATTATCTGGAATTTTTAATGCACATAAAAAACGTAAGCAATACAATATATAGCAAAGAAACCGATCGATTAAATCATCAAATTTGTAGAAAATATTTCTCACTAGGTTAAG